TTAGGGAGCAAGGAACTCTAATGTTTCACTACTAAAATTCTTAAGTATAAAGCAAATCTTTAAAAGAGAATTGAGGACTGCAGAAATAGCTCAGAAGTCTAAGTGCCTACCTGGCAAGCACAAAGACCCAGGTATGGTCCCTGGTACCGCATAGTACCAGCCCCAGAACTGGGCATGGTGGTGCAGGCCTGTGATCCTAGACCTGGGGAGGCTGAGACAGAAGGATCACTACATGTCCAAGCTACATAACAATACCCTGTATCAAACAAATAAAAGATTTTGTTTTTAAAATTTTTCAAAAAGAAAATTGCAATTTTTATAGACAACAATCTACACAAAGTCTTTGTAGCCACTTATCTTGAGTCCCAGCTTGGCCGTTTTAGTTAGAAAACTCACTCTCATTTAGTATCTATTTTCTCATCTAAGTGAGGATAACAAATGCAACTTAGAGTACTGTTGGAAAGATTAAGATCATGAGTATACAGTGCCTTATAAAGGGTTGATTCTTTTGTTGATATAAAATTGTTTCAAGTGTACACGGATGTGTGTTCATACACATACACACATTCCTCATTTTACTGAGAAATCTTTAAGGTCAAAATGAGGGACAAATATTCAATGCAATTTCCATCAAAATATCATTATCATTCATTGCAGAATTAGAGAAAACAACCCCAAAATTCAGATAGAAAGAACCCCAAATACTCAAAGCAATACTGAACAAAAAGAGTAAAACTGGAAGTACCAAAACACCTAATTCAAAAATATACCACAAAGCCAAAGTAAAAAAAAACAGTATGAAATTCTCATAAGAACAGACACACAAGGTAGTAAAACACAGTAGAGATTCCAAAAACAAATACCTGACCATAAAGCCAGGAAAGGTGGCAAAAACCTACATCAGAAAATAGACAACACTTCAATAAACAGTTCTGTCTGCATGCAGAAAATTGAAACTTGACCTCTGTCTCTCACCCCTTATGAAAAACAACTCAAGCTGGTTCAAAGATGTAAATGTGAGACTTAAAATGAAGAGAAACATCAAGATTTTTTGGGTGGAGCCCTAAAATCACAGGAAACAAAAGCAAAAATTAACAAATGGGATCATATCAAACTAAAAGAAGTTGATAAAGTGAAGAGCCAACCTACAGAACAGGAGAAAATATTTTCAAATTGCTCATATAGTAGATTAATACACAAAGAATTCAAATATAATTAACAAGAAAAAAAACCCTAGTTAACCCAATTTTAAAATGGGCAAATAACCTAAATAGGCACTTCTCAAAAAAGAAATACAATTGACCAACAAATATATTTCTAAAATGCTCAACATCATTAGCCATTAGAAAACTGTAAATCGAAACTATAGTCAAATACTAACACCCCAGTTAGAATGGCTATTATCAAAAAATAATAAGTGCTGGAGAAGATGTGGAGAAAAACAAACAAATTATTGAATAGAATATAAGTAGTCTGTATAGAGAACAATGTGGAAGTTCAGCAAAACCATAAAAATAGATCTGCTATGTAATTCAGCTCTGTCACTTTGGGGTATACATCCAAGGAAAATGAAATCAACATACCAAAATGTAGCTGCACGCCCATGTGTACTGTGGCACTACTCACAACAGTAGAGGTACACAGTCAGCCTAAGTGCACAAAGAAGATGTGGTGTGTGTGCACAACAGAGTCTTATGCAGCCATAAACAGGAGTGACGGCCTGCCACTTGGCAGGTACAGAAGGACGTTATGTTAGGTGGAATAAGCCAGACACAGAAAGACAAGTACTGCATAATGTTGCATTTTCTCTCTTATGTAGAAGCTGCAAAATAGTCAACTTAAAGTAAAATAGTGATTACTAGAAAATGAGAAGGGTGAGAGGAAGAAAAGGAAAGGGAGGTTGGATTGGATCACTTCACACTACATGCACATACAGAAATATCACAATGAACCTTGCTAATGTGCACCACTAATACTTTTTTAATGTATTTGGTACAGGGTCTCACTATGCAGTTCAGACTTGTAGTGATCCTCCTGTTTTCAGCCTCCACAGTGCTGGGATTATAGGCTTGCACCACCACACCCAGACTTGGTGGCTGTGTCATTGTGCCCTGGGGCAGGGCCAGCATGGCATGTGGTGCTGGGGATTAAACCCCAGTCCCTATGTTTGCATAAGCAGGCACTTAGTCTGCTGAGCTATCTCACCGGCCCTCCACTAACACGTGTTAATGAAACTTTTAAATCATTGAGAGTATAATGATGTTATGATTTAATTATAATGTGGGAGAATTTAAAGGAAAGGGAGGATTATCTCACTCATATGTGGAATTTTAAAATATCAAGCTCATAAAAACGGAAAGTAGGAAGGTGGTTACCAGGGAATAGGGTGAGCAGAGGAAGGGCAGGATAAGGAGAGGGAGTTTAAGGGAACCAAGTCATAACTAGACAAAATAGAGGATGTTTGGTGCTCTGTGGTACAGAAGCCTGACTACTGATAATGATCATGTTTTGCATATTATCAAAAAGCTTTAAAGAAGGATTTTTACTATTTCATCATTTGAAAGGTTTGAGAAAAGAGATATGTTTACACTGATTTAAACTTATATATGTATATGTGTATATATATGGTATCAAAATATCACAATTTTATGTATCCATGAAAAATAAGCAAATAAAAATAAATTTTAAATAAAACTGAGCAATCCAGGAAAGTGGGAAGACATGTCTCATGGTAGCACCACAGTTAGGGCCTCCATATACCCCCATGGCATCCATTCTAAACTTTGAGTCAAAGGATGGGCAGTAAAACATGTTGTGTTAATCAGCAAATGCAAGAATAAGCTCAGATACCTTGTGAAATCACTAATGTTGCTTGCTCCAAAAGCATTTCTGTATTGGGCAGTAGTCAAAGGCAAATCACTGCATTGGCTACATGTGGGTACAAAGATGAAGAAAACACACCCCTTTTCTCCACATCTCACTGTGTCCAAGGAAGGAAACCCCAGGGATGACAAAGATTTAGTTCAAAACATCTTCAGATTATTATTTGTATTGCAACTAAGTAAAAAGTTCCCCATTATATATCACATGTACAACTGCAATTATATTCTTACTTAAAACTATTCCAAGGGCCGGCGAGATAGGTCAGTGGACTAAGCACCAGCCCAGATTTAACATTTAAAAGGTTTTTAGATACAGTGATGTATGTCTCAAATCCTAGCAACTAGAAGGCAGAGAGAAGAGGAAAACAACAAATTCAAGGCCATCCTGGACAACATAGTGAATTCAAAGCTAGCCTGATCTACATAGCAAGACTCTGTCTCAAAAAACAAAACAAACAAACAAAAACACCTAATTGTCAAAGTGCTTTGAAACAGGATCACTCATTCACACAGGTCTTTGGCATTTGTACATTTCACTTTGAAACCAGTTTTCAGGAAAGCATCACAGAGGGAGCGGAAGGGTTGTTATAAAATCCCAAATGGAGGGACGGCCAGATAACTCAGCTGATTAAAGCGCCTATTCAGTCAGACGCAGGGACTGGGATTTGATCCCCAGCATGCTGTGCCAGCCCCACCCCTGGAGCATGCTGAGACCGCAATTGACAATGAGTGTGGTAGCACACGCCTACAATCCCAACGCTTGGGAGGCTGAAAACAGGAGGTTCACTACGAGTCTGATCTGTGTAGTGAGACCCTGTAGACCCTGTACTAAATACATAAAAAATAAATAAACAAACATAGGACATAGTTATAAAATCATATTTATTCCCATCGTGAGAAAATATAATTCTTGTTCCCCTGTAGTTACAATTGTTATAATTGATTCAAAACTATGATATCATAAAGGTGCCAGATCATAAGAAACATCACAATTCCTCTTCACATCAATGTAACTTCAAATAAACAAATAATAAGCCAGTCCAGGCTGCCACTCTCCACAATCCTGGGTAACAGAGCCCACAGAATTCACTGCTCATACCTCAGAATGACTTGGAGGAGCTGTCCTTTCCATCCCTCTGCCTTTCACACCTTGGAACCTTCAAAATGGTGAGACTCCCTTGCCTGCTTGGATGTCACTGCCTTCTACCACCTGCCATTCCTCATGGTCCAAGGTGTCCAACAGAGGACATCTAATTCAATCTCAGAAGCAGCTGACAGCCCTCCCTTCCAAGGCAGAGCCCTCCAAGGGAATCTCAAAGGTTTCTCTTCTCCACATGGGATTGGCTTCTCTCTCTAGCTTCCCAGACTCCTCAAGCCTCCTGTTCCAGTCTTGCCATCATAGCCCCTCAGAGGCCCAGAGCCCTCTGCTGCCACAGTCCACCTCTACAATTCCCGCCCACCCATCTCTGCCGGCTCTGCCTTGCTTCCTCAGGTTATACCCAGCTCCTCCACCTCCATGTCTTCATGAAGCTTTTCCACTAATACCCAGGGAGGTGTACTTGCATCAGTATAATGCCTGAGACCAAAAGTGTTCAGAAACAGCAAATTTGATGCCCTCATTATTTCATTTCCCATCGACCCACTAAAATATTTCAATCCACCAAAGTCTTCAAGTTTTTATAAGATCTCATCCTCACTGGATGTAGAAAGTTTAACACATCCTTATATGTTTAGAATTCTTCTTGCCTTTGGCTTATAGGGCATCCTCTGATCTCAGCATTTGCCAGAGAGTTGAGAATCAGGAAGTTCATCAGCATGTACCAAAAGACTTGAACTTGAAAATCAAAAGCCCCTTTTTCCTGCCACTGTTTCTGATTCACAGATCCAAGCCAACTGATACAGAGCACAACCTGGCCCTTTGTCTCTGTGTTAACCTCTCCCCCACATTGTCACATGCCTCACTTTTTGGCTTCTTTGAGGTCTCAGCTTAAATGTCACCTTCCACAAGAAGCCTTCCCTGACTACCAGGACCAACTGGATCAAAGGCAAAACTTGCCGACCCACCGAGACAAGCTCAATGTTATCACGCAGTGTGCAGCTGCCTCACTCCCCACTCACCTGGATCAGCGTCTCCAGTTCCTGGGGACTCACACAGATGTGGTCCCGCAGGAATTCTGCCTTCTCCAGGGCGATGGTGTTCTTCTGGCTGCTCTCAAAGGGCTGCTCGAGTGCCCGGAAGACGAGGCCACCCGTGACGAGGTAGACCACCACGACCACAAAGATGGCAACCACGGTCTTCCACTTCATGACAGTCTGCAGGCCCCCCTGGGAGGCACCTTCCATCCTGGCTACCACCGTGGCTCGAGAGGAAATGGAGAGGCGGGGAGCTGGAGGGTGCCCGTTAGTGGTACTCTTGGGCTGGCACACGGGTGGGGCTGCCGCAGGAACAGCCACTGAGGAACGAAGAGGGGAGAGGAGAAAAGAGAGTTTGTTTATAAAGACAAAGTGTAAAAGTCACCAGAGGTGTAGCAGAGGTGTCTCCTTCTGCCAGCTGTCACCAAGCCAGCACTTGGCAACGTCATCAGTTGCTAGGTACCAGGAGTCCTAATTTTAAAGTAAAAGTATTAATTGGGCTTGAAATGCTTCCATTTTTGTACAAAGGTCCAAACTAGAAAGCCATCTCTTTGTTATTTATGATTCATCTCCTCCCTTGGTTTCCTGATTTGAACAATGTGAAAGAAACACAACCAACACTTGAGAAACAGACACATTGTCCAACTTGGAGAAAGAGAAATAGGCCAAGGATTCCAGTACCTGAATGGAGAAGAGATAGACACTATCAACTTAAAAAGCCTATCTTGCCACAGAACAAAGGCAAAAAGAATGATCTTGCTATAAAGGACAAAACTCAAGACAGTAAAGAAGGATTGGCTTTCTATAAACTATCAGTAGTGAAGACAAAGACAGGCAACCATGATGAGGGGAGGAGACAAGAGTGAAGATTTATGTCAGGGAGCCCTCTTTCATGATCAAAATGAGAATAAAATTGATCCAAAAGGTATTTCCTAATAGAATAAGCTATGACTTCGATGCAATCACAGCTATTCTACTAGAATTTTTCTTCTATTGTCTTCCAATAAGAAGCCAAGGGAAATGAAATGTCCCCTGGTTTTCAAAACATGAAATTTTCTAAGGTCTCTTGTTCTCTTTAAGGGCAATTTCATTACCTTGGAAATAAATATGCTAAGCTGGCAGCTTTTCTGCAAAGGCACGAAGTTCAAGGCAGTGCCACATAGGTAATGCCGTCACACATGACAGAAATCTGTCTCAGGAAGCAGTGAGCAGTCCTCACACTTCGATTTCGATTTCCCTTTATTATTCTAATTCTTGCCCAGGTCTCTGGTGAGACTTGTGTAAATAACGTATTAGGAGATGACAAGCAGAATTATCTAAGGGAAACAAACAATGTCACATCACAGGGGACTAAACAGTCCAGTTTCTGACTTGGACAAATCAAAGAGTGGGAATATCAGTCCTTACTCCCAATCAATGATCCTGACAACATCTGGTGGGGTGGGGGGCATTAAGAAAAATCTAAGTCTGTTAACACCTGCCTTCCCCTAAATCTTCAAAACCAGATTTTTTATTTTTTTTTTCCAGCAGTGAGGATTGAACCTGGGGCCTCACACATGCAGGTCAAATATCTACTACTGAATGAGAGCCCTAACTTTTTTTATTTTGAGGCAGGATCTCATTAAGTTGCCCAGGCTGGGCTTAAAACTGTGCTCCTCTCGCATCAGCCCTGCCCACCCCCACCTTCAGTGACTGGGATGATCACACGTGGGCACCACCACACCTGGGACATCAGCATTTCACTACATAGTATTCTGTCTAATGAAGTCACTTAGTGCTAAATCTCCCTTAGACTTGACACACATACAAAATTCTCTGGGATGCTGAACTGACGATCTGTAAATCAGAATCACCCATTTCTTGTGGTAGGGGGCATAGGCTCTAAAGACAGACCCCAGCCTCATCCTCAGGACCTACATTACTGTGCATACCAAAATGAGCCCTGGGGATGCCCAGTGATTAAAGATTGTGACATGCAGGGCTGACTCTGGTTTGTGAGCAAGCCCAGTACAGTCAGAAGAGAATCAGAGGGAGGAGAGTGAAGGCAGGAGCACAAGCCAAGGGAGGGACATGTTCCCCCGAGAGGGTGGAAAAGTCGAGGGGACACAGTGTCCTCCTAGAGCCTCCAGAAGGAACCAGCCTTATGCATACTTTGGCCAAGTACAACTGATTTTGAACTTGTGACTTTCAGAGCCACATCATTTAATATTAGTGAATTTCTCATAGCAGTCACAGGAAATAGCAACCCCCCCCCCCCAGGTCTCCCTTCCTGGTGCTTGCTGTACCATCTTGCTAAAGAAGCCTGGTCCCTTACCCAGGGCTCTCACTAGGCTGCAGTCTTCCCCTCAGGGCAGGGACCACATCTCCCCTCCTCCTGGAGCTCCAGTGTCACGCACAGTGCCTGGCACACGAAGGGCAGATGAAGGATGGAAGGAAGGCACATCAGCCCAGCTACAGCACGCAGTCAGTGTGGATGGAAGCATCACCTTGACCCTCCAGCAAGGCTGAACAGCAGGTCTTCAAACACAGCAGCACTCCAATACCAGCACGACACCTTCCAGACGCTCTCTTGGCTAGGAACCTCATCTGTCTGTCAACTTCCCACATCTTCAGCTTTGGCCCCAGCCTGCTCCTCCAGGATGTCCTGCTGGCCCCTTCTTGTTAGACTCAGCCTGCCTGGCTTCCTCCCTGGTCTGTACACTTCTTTTATTTTTAATCATTTATTTGTTTGTTTATTTGGCACAGGGTCTCACTATGCAGCTCAGACTCATAGTGATACTCCTGTCTCAGCCTCCCCAGAACTGGGATAACAGGCGTGTGACACCATGCCTGGTTTTAGTGGCCGGCACAGTGGCACATCATGTGGTACTGAGGATCGGACCTGGGTCCTTGTGCTTGCCAGGCAGGTACTTAGAGTGCTGAGCTATCTCCCCAGCCCCTCTGTATACTTCTTAGAGTCAGCAAGCTCATCTTTCGTCACTGGGTCTACATTTCTCAGTGCAATGTCTAGCACACAGCAATGTTCATTTTCTGTTGTTGCTGATCCTTCCTGCAGACTGCATGGAGAAGCCTTGTGAGAATCACCACTAACCTAACCAATGAGCATTTACCCAACATTAATTACACATAAAGGCTGTGCTACTTGGGCATGGTTCAATCCCCAGCCCCACCCCCAGGGCACACTGAGAACGCGACTGAGACTTGGTGTGGTGGTGCGCACCTGTAATCCCAGCACTTAGGAGGCTGTAAACAGAAGAATCACTACAAGTCCAGTCTAGCCATGAGACCCTGAACACCCTGTAGACCTTTCCCTAAAACACAGGAAAAAAAAAAAGAACATGTGGCACTACTCCAGGTCACCTCATCCAGTGGCCAACTAGGGCCTGAGCCTGGAACCCAGCTGGAATGAAATACGTGTACTTTTCCAACCTGTGTCATGCATGGTTCAGTCTCGGATCCTTGAGGCTCCGTAGTATTGAGCTTGAGAAAGGCCATTTCGAGCCAGTGCCAATTTGCTAAGAGGCTGTTCAGGGCTTAAACAGAATCTACCAACTCCTAGAGTCTCCAAAACACTGGAGCTGAAACCAGAGCTTAGTCCCAAACTCACCAGTGACTGGGTGACCTTGAAACGGTCACTCAGCTTCTTAACAGCCACTTTTGTTAGCCCCTACAAGGTTCTCAGGAAAAGCAATTGAACTGCCCTGGCTTACTGATGGGGGCATATTTGTTGGTGTCCAGAATCCTGGCAGGGATCTCAGGAATTCAAAACCCTTTGTGCATTTGACCAAATCTAGGGTTGGTTGATTTAGCAAATAGAACTGCGGATTTTGATCACTGGGAAAGGACTTGGGCTATGCTTTTAGCTTTAGATAGATAAATTTCAAAAGGGTGTTCTAATTATTACATTTTCCCCTTGGAAACCAGAGTTGCTCTCACCCTATAACAAAATTGCCTGTGACTTGGGATGAGCCGCTGTGGATATCCATGCCTGGTACAAACAAGGAAGCAAAAGAGGACAGATGACCGTGGTGGTGCTGGCAGTGATGGCAGTAAAGATCATAGGACCCCCGTCCCATGCTGAGCACAGACCTGTGGCTGTCGCTCTGAGCAACATTCTGCTTACATCACTGCACCTGACCACACCAGAAGGCATTGTCACACTGTGTGTGGCCAAGTCCTCCTGGGAGCAGATGTCAAGAAGGGATTCCGCATACACTGGTTTTATTAGAGGAAATGCGTGTGCAAGAGGAAATGAGAGGGACTCGGGGGCTAGGAGAGCCACCAGTTTGCCCCCAGTGAAGGAACGAGGAGGAAGGATGAGTAAGCATCCTAGACCACCTGCAGTCTCAGGAGGGTTCAGCAAAGTTTCTAACATCAGCCATGCACAGAGTCCTGCTTCTCTCAGGAACAAGTGCAGAGGCATCTCGACATCTTCAGTCTCGGCCTATGGGAAATGCACCAGCCAGGCAAGCCCAGCAACAAGCATCCCAGCAGCCACTGTGGCTCTTGGTCACCTGTACTGCCTCCAAAGGGCACTCTGCAAGATCTGCTTATGGCTACTACAGAGTACACTACACCGGTAAAGAAATCGAAACCAACCCCAGTCAAACAGCCAAACCAAAGGCAAGCATCCAGGAGGTAATGGAGTCCGAAGCACAACTACCGTATTCTGACTTCGAAGTCAGTTCTCTCGTGGGGCACAGGAGCAAGGCCATCAGAAACAAAGTAATTTCTGGTAGAAGGCTGAAACACAACCTGAAAGGCACAAATGAGACTGACTAGGATGACCGAATTCTTTCCCACATAATGTATCGATAATGGGCAGGCCATGTAAATCGAGGGCCTGACCTACTCTAGAATACCAACAGAAATCCATGCCAGCAGAACAAAGGCTGAAGAGAGTTGGTAAGACAAGAAATGTCTCAACATAATACCCTTTAGTTAATGCTCACTGTAAAATGTTTCCTCAGGAAAGCTAACACATTTCATTTTTACCTCAGTGCGGGTACATATCAAGATATATGTGAACATCAGGGTTTTTTCATGATGAAATAAATTCTTAGTGATTTTATTTTACTCAGGTTCCTCATAGCCCATAGATTGTACTGTACCATTCATTCACATATTCAGTCCAGAAACATTGGCTGGTGCCTGGCATCATGTCTGGCCCCGGAAATAGATAGATGAGTACGACACATCTCTGCCTTCAGTTAGCAGGAGAACACACAAAAGCTTTGTGTCTGCCTGAACCTGTTTTAGCCTGGAAAAAATCTGAGGGAGGCAGTGATCCTTATCTTCTCGCCTCTACAGGGGAGGGAAG